TGTTTCTATCATAGTGTGCCCTTTTTCCTTTGTACTATTGTCTATTATGCCTCTTATTTTTCTCAATTAGTTTTCCAAGTGATTAACCTGTTTTAAATTCTCTTAAATTAATTGACTTTCAGTTTTGTTGATCACCTATTGTTCCTTGTTTTCCTTGTTTATAACATTCTGCTTTTATACTTACTGTTTTCTTCCTTCAATTGTCTTTGAGTTTACTAATATGGTTGCTTATGGCAGTTTGGTCATCATCCCCCAATATCTTTTTCCCTTTCCTTCAGAGATACAGAATTGTAATTGGACTCAGGACTTCTTATCTAAACTCCACAGTTCTTAATCCCCTTTGCCGCTACCTGTCATCATATGACCAAGCTTTGACCAAAGGAATGGAGGACCCCTTCAGGGTCTTGCTTTTTTTCTTTCTTTCTTTTTTTGTTTTTTTTTTTTTTTTTTGAGACAGTGTCTCCTTCTTGTCATCCAGGCTGGAGTGCATTGGCACCATGAATCATGACTCATTGCAGCCTGTACCTCCTGGGCTCAAGCGATCCTCCCACCTCAGCCTCCCAAGTAGCTGGAACCACAGGTTTGCTGCCATACCCAGCTAATTTTTTTATTTTTTTGTGGAGACGGGGTCTCACTCTGTTGCCCAGGCTGCTCTTGAACTCTTGGGCCTCTTGAACTCCACATCGGCCTCCCAAAGTGCTGAGTTTACAGGCAGGAGCCATCTCACCCAGCCCAGGTCTTGCATTTAAAAAAAATATGTGTGTGCACTCTCTTAAGCTCATTTCCACTGTCTGATTACTGAAAGGTGATGACAACCAGATAGTGCTACTTTTGACATGTAAATGAAAGGCTTATGTTGCGTTTGACATAAATGCCTGCCAACCCTGGACCTGCCACCTACCACAAGACTATCTTATGAGAAGAAAATAGTGGTCTATCTTATTTAAGTTTCTATATTTTTGGGACTCATTGATAAAAGTACTGAGCCTGGCCAGGTGTGGTGGCTCACGCCTGTAATCCCAGCACTTTGGGAGGCCGAGGTGGGTGGATCACCTGAGGTCAGGAGTTCGAGACCAGCCTGGTCAACACAGTGAAATTCCATCTCTACTAAAAATACAAAAATCAACCAGGTGTGATGGTGAGCCCCTGTAATTCCAACTACTCAGGAGGCTGAGGTGGGAGAATTGCTTGAACCAGGAGGCAGAGGCTGCAGTGAGCTGAGATTCTGCCACTGCACTGCAGCCTGGGCAACAGAGCGATACCTCATCTCAAAAAAAGTACTGAGTACTGATTCTCTACCTTTTCTGAACATTCTGATCATTAAGTGTAAATTTTTGTGTGTAATATATGCATTAAAAACTTTAATTTCTGTCTAAATACCATCTTTCATCACCCAAGTTTTTTTTTTTTTTTTTTTTTAAGACTGGGTCTCACTCTGATGTCCAGGCTGCAGTGCAGTGGCGCAGACATGGCTCACTGCAGTCTCCTCCTCGGCTCAAGTCATCCTCTCACCTCGGCCTCCCAAACTGCTGGGATTACAGGCATGAGCTACCACACCCAGCCCACACAACCTTTCATGGATTCTGTTCTGTTGCTGTTCAGCTCTAAATATTTTGTAATTTTCTTTTCAGTTTCTTTTTTTTAACCTAGTCATTATTTAGAAATGTTTTTAAATGCCCCTACTAGGGGCAGGGGAAAGTTATACTCTCATTCTATTACTTATACCAAATTTGATTTCTTGAAGCCAGAGAGTATGCTCTGTATCAGTGCTGTTCAAACCATCTGCAGTGAAAAACCAACTTAAAAAAATTTTCCAATCTGTTGCACACTGATATTTCTGTAAGATATAATAAGAATAAATCACTAGAAAAATAGAATTTTAAAATGATGTATAAAATACAAAGCCAAATTTTTACTGCTAAAGGCAGCAGACATAAAAATATGTTATAAAAGTTTCTAAACATTCTCAATTTCTGTATTTATCTCATTACAGATGGGTAACAAAGAGTTCACTGACTGGCACCACTCTACAAACTATATTCGTAATGGCACTGGGGTTTATACAATATATATAACATATAACATAATACACAACTACCTTACATAATGACCCTTCAGTTAACATTTGCCAAAGCAGCTCTTGAAAATTATATCACCCTTTTGAACAAAGACTCCTTTTTTTAATGACATAATGACTTTTCACCCCCAACATACATTTAAATAAATATGCTAAAAGAAGTGATAATTCAACATTACAGCTTAATGCAAAAATACACTCACCAATTATAGGACATAAGAATTCCTAGTCAGAGACTATCATATGGAACGAATTTGGACCGTGCCCTGTACTTGAATGAACCGCAACATGTTCTGCTCATTTATTTCTTTTAGCATACAGACATCAAGCAAAAGAAACAAACATCCCAAATTGAGAACAAAACAGGAAGAAGCAGCTGGTAGAACTGTGGAAAGTTTTGTAATTCCCGAAAAGGTGAGGCAGGCCAAGGACACAGTAAAAGTAAAGTTTCAATGAAGTCTGAATTGTGCATACAAAACTTCAAAGGGCCCTGGCAACAGAGCTCCCACTTTATGGTAATAACATTACATTGTTCTTAAGAATTTCTGAGTTTGAAAAAATAAAAAATAATAAAATAAAATCATTATATTGAGGGAAAATATCACATAAAAATGAAGTAGGTATTAATAGTAAAGAGAGTCGGTATTACACGACCTGGTCTGGTGAGGAGCTGGGGGTTTTCACTGTAAAGAATGACTTTGTGGGTAGACAAAAGATGGTTTATGAAAAAGGTTAAACTGAGCCTGCACCCTGGAGCAGAGCTTCTGAAACTTTGATGTGCACACAAATCACCCACGGATGTGGTGGAAATGCTCGTTCTGGTTCAGGGCTCCAGGCCGGGGCCTGAGAGTCTGCGTGTCCAACAGGATCTCAGGTGCGGCCTTTGGAGCTGCTGGGCTGCACAGCAGGGGTCTCTGGGATCCTGCAGAGCTGTTGCGTTTCCCGCTGGCTTTGCAGAGAGTCTGCGTCACCAAGTCCTATATCGCACACACCTGCCAGCACCACTGCTAGAAAAACAATGGGGGACCGGGACGAGGCAGAAACCCATTCCCCCGGGTGACCTGTGGGAAGGGGCTGAGGCAGGTGGTGGCTTAAGATTCCTCCCCTGTCCCCTGGATGGCCCTTGGATGGAAGGTTGGGGGTGGAACAAGGAGTCAACTGCTCTCATAATTAATACTTTCACCAAGGCCAAGCCCTGAGGAATTCCCACATTCGGAGGTGGAGGAGAGAGAAGATTATGAGAGAGATGACAGATACGGAGAACAGAGAATGCGGCACCAACACACAGATAGTTACCATTCCTGGCCAAGAGATGCAATCATGAAAGAGCTTTGGAAACAATTTTCCTAAACTTAAGAAAGATCAGTATCTGCAGACTGAAGGAATTTACCACGTTTCAGGAGAAGCAGCTATCTACACGTACATACATTTGGCAACAATTTTTTTTTACTTTTTTATTTTTGAGCAGAGTCTTTCTCTGTGGCCCAGGCTGGAGTGCATTGGCGCCATCTCGGCTTCCTGCAACCTCCGCCTCCCAGGTTCAAGCAATTCTCCTGCCTCAGCCTCCCAAGTAGCTGGGACTACAGGCACATGCCACCACGGCTGGCTAATTTTTGTAGTTTTAGTAAGAGACGGGGTTTCACCATATTGGCCAGTCCTGGCCTCAAGTGATCCTCCTACCTTGGCCTCCCAAAGTGCTGGGATTACAGGCATGAGCCACTGCTCCTGGCCCGACAATTTTTAACTACAAGGAAAAAAACTCCTGCAATCATGATGACAGGAGGAAACAGATCGTCTTTTCTTGAGGACTTGCCTTGTGTCTGACACATACTTGGTGCTTTACACGAATTCTCTTATTTAAACCACACAGCATCCCAATAAAGGGGCGGCGCTGGCCCGGAAGTTGGCTGGATGCAGGAACTCAATCGATGTTGTCGGGGTCCCTCTGCTCTCCAGCTGCTCAGCTCCGGTTGGTTCTGTGTGGTAGCCTGAGCCTCTCCTACTGCAGACAGGCTTCCAGGTGAGGCCCGGGCAGCTCCAGGTTCACATAATCCTAGCTCAGGAACCGCAGAAGGGAGAAAGAGTCTCCCTCCTGGTTTGCCCATAGCAGGACTCCTGTTGTCTTCAGGGTACACGCTCAACACTTAGATCCAGCACAGTGGCCAACAGAGTTCAGTGAGATATTGGTCAGGGGGTGAAGCTACTATGATTGCAAATCCCAGCTGAATCAAAAGGTGGGAGTGAAAAAAACCCAAACAACTAAAAGGGAGGAAGGATGGTTTGGCCAACAAATGCAAAGGGTCCACGAAAAGGAGGATCTATGAGTGGCCCCACATTACAGGAGAGATCAACTTGTCCAAGGTCACACATCCAGTAAAAGGGAAAGCCAGGACTCAAACCAAGGCAGTCCAATCCCAGACTCTTAACCACCCTGCTCTAAGGAAACAAAGCCTATTTGGTTTCAGAATTCTCTGCAACATTAGCTTTCAGAAGAAAATGGAGCAACAGCTGGACTTTCTGGAGAAAAAGATTGTAACTGAAGATTCATACACTCTGCCAAATTGTCTTTCACAATTTCAGGATCGCTAAAAAGCATTAAACACACACCATGTGACAGGCACTGTTCTAAGTGCTTTATATGTATATTGAGCCATTCACTCCATGAACAACTCTGTAATACAGGACTTCTTATCCTTATTTCACAAATGAGAAAACCAAAGCCCAAAGAAGTTAGGTAACTTACCTAAGAGTCTGGATTGCGTCTAGGCAGTCTGATCTTCTGAGCTATGCTGTAAACTTCTCTGATCTCAGAATATGGGATGTCTCCTTTTATTAAACCTTCTTTAATTTATTTCAGCAATGTTTTGTGGTTTTCAATCATTCTTCAAATATTTTCACTTCTCCTTTCTCCTTTTCTTTTTCTAGTATTCCCATTACATATATATTGGTGTGTGGTTAATGGTGTCCCAGATTTCTGTGAAGCTGTTAATTTTTCTTCATTCTTTTTCTTACTCTGTTCTTAAGATTGCATAATCTCTATAGATCTTCAAATTTTCTTTTTCTTCCTTCCTTCCTTCCTTTCTTCCTTTCTTCCTTTTTTCCTTCTTTCTCTGCCTCTCTCTCTTTCTTTCTCTCTCTCTTTCTTCCTTCCTTTCTTTTTTTCTTTCTTGGCATACCCGAGTGTATTTGGGGCACACTGGGGTGAGAGGGCCCTGCAACTAGCAGAAGGTGTTGGGCCTCTTGGTAGTGAAGCATGACTTGTGCTGATGGCGCAGGACGCGGCGGAGCAGCAGGAACTTGATGTTGGAGTCGTGGAACTGCACTTGCTAGCTGTAATCTCCTCCAGTGGGCCAGGGTGTGGTGCTGGGCACCCATGTCGAGATCTATAAAAAGGAGGAGAGGGCAGGGTAACCGCATTTCCTGGGCTCTAGGCATTTGGCAGACCTCCTATCGCGTACCTGTCCGGTGACCTGGTACATTCTGTCAGGCACAGCCATTGCCTGGGGGCCGTGACTTGGGGCTGACTGGGGGGCCAGATGGCCACAGCCTCTGGTCCCAGCAGGCACTGGCCACCAGGGAGGTAAGCCTCTAAGTTCACTTTAAGGAGCATGGCCACAGCCACCAAAGATAATGAGATTCGCTTGCTGTTTGCAGCTCTGTTTAAACCATCACTTCAAGAAACAGTGATTCTTCAGGTTTAGGTGCAACTGATCTTTTTTTGTTTTTTTTTTTAAGGGACAGCTGTCCCAGAGGGTAACACCAATTAATTTTGATGCTTTTTTCTTTAGTGCATTATTATTATTATTTATTTATTTATTTATGACAGGGTCTCACTCTGTCACCCAGGCTGGAGTGCAGTGGCACAGTCATAGCTCACTGCAGTCTCAACCTCCTGGGCTCAAGCAATCCTCCCACCTCAGCCCCCTGATTAACTGTGACTGCAGGTGCATGCCACCACACCCTGCTAATTTGCTGCTTTTTTTTTTGTAGAGGCAGGGTTTCGCCATGGGTTTTGCCCAGGCTGGTCTC